GTTCTTTTTAAAAAGCTAGCCTCAAAATTTTTTTTCAGTTGGTATAGTGTAGCTATATGACATCGAATGAAATACTGACTGTAACTGTATGACATTTTCTAGGTTTCCTAGCAACAACAGACAATTCTTCAGCTGGTAACTATGGGATGTTAGATCAGGCCTTTGCTATTCAGTGGGTATTTGACTACATATCACATTTTAATGGAGACCAGAATAAGATAACCCTGTTTGGACCTGGGGCGGGAGCAGCAAGTGCAGGACTTCATGCCATATCTCCACGGACACGAGGTAGTTTTCTCATAGTTCTTGCTGTACACATTAAATTACAAAGTGGAATGAGAAACTGTTAACAAAATTAAAACTTTTAATGGAAATGTCCAAAACTTGTATAATTTCATGTTTCCAACCCATAGGGTTTAAGAGAAAAGTTGCAAATCAATAAAACTTTTTTTTTAACTTCACATCTAGAATGTTATTATTACTTTTTATATAGTTTTAAAAACAAAAATGTTTGGGTTTTACTTTTTCATGAACAATGAAAGTGGTTCATTGAGATACAACAGAAAGTGGATTTCAAGCAACATCCACCTTTTGCTTATGTTCAACTGCTTCTCTTGTGTTAAAGATCCAGCACTGACTCAACACTTGGCTTTGAATATTTTAGTTAAAGCCTCATATTTAAAAAGGTTTGATAAGTAGTTTGACTGCCTCAATAAAAGATTTGCTGTGGTGAAAATTTCAGGTGGCATGTAAGAAAAGTCAAAACAAGTTTATTATACAACAATGAATTGTGATTCTTTCTTTATCAATACCAAAAAACATGAAGATCTATTGTTTTAGTGAATTTTGAGGCTAGCTTTTTAAAAAAACATGAAAATCTATTGTTTTAGTGAATTTTGAGGCTACCTTTTTAAAAAAACATGAAAATCTATTGATTTAGTGTTGTCTGTTGTTGCTAGGAAACCAAGAACATTTTGTACAGTTACAGTCAGGATCTCATCAAATATCATATAGCTACACTATACCAGCTGAAGAATTGTCTGTTGTTGCTAGGAAACCTAGAAAATGTCATACAGTTACAGTCAGTATTTCATTCAATGTCATATAGCTACACTATACCAGCTGAAGAATTGTCTGTTGTTGCTAGGAAACCAAGAACATTTTGTACAGTTACAGTCAGGATCTCATCAAATATCATATAGCTACACTATACCAGCTGAAGAATTGTCTGTTGTTGCTAGGAAACCAAGAACATTTTGTACAGTTACAGTCAGGATCTCATCAAATATCATATAGCTACACTATACCAGCTGAAGAATTGTCTGTTGTTGCTAGGAAACCAAGAACATTTTGTATAGTTACAGTCAGGATCTCATCAAATATCATATAGCTACACTATACCAGCTGAAGAATTGTCTGTTGTTGCTAGGAAACCAAGAATATTTTGTACAGTTACAGTCAGGATCTCATCAAATATCATATAGCTACACTATACCAGCTGAAGAATTGTCTGTTGTTGCTAGGAAACCAAGAATATTTTGTACAGTTACAGTCAGGATCTCATCAAATATCATATAGCTACACTATACCAGCTGAAGAATTGTCTGTTGTTGCTAGGAAACCAAGAACATTTTGTACAGTTACAGTCAGGATCTCATCAAATATCATATAGCTACA